GGTGTGATGTGTTGGGGGTGGTGGGGGTATTGGGGTTGTCTATTCAGTTCGATGTTCATCAAGCCGGTGTGATTGTTTTTCATGTATCTGGACTTTTTTTTTTCTCGGCTAATTCCAGCCCTCACCTTGTTCACCACTCACGCCGTGTTTTGCGCTATTTAAGCGATGCTTCAACCGGTTCTAAAGAAGGCGTCCGCGGCGGTCCACCTCCTAATGTTTCTTTGCAAGCTCCATCACCGCAAAGCGGCCATCCCGAGCAAGACGTAGGCGGGGGCCTGGCAGTGTTTGAGGAAGGGGAACGGACGGTCGGTTGGCGGGTGTGTTGAAGCGGGAGCGGGTGTCTTCAGTTGGCTGTCCATCTAGGGTTTGCACGTCGTTTGCTGCGCGATGTCGTGATCTTCGTGACGAAGATGTGTTCCGCAGTGCCCAACCGCTGGACAGGGGGTGTCGATGTCACAGGGGACATGGTGCGAATGCTCGTCTCCGTGCTGGCGAAGGAGTTTGAGGAGCGCCTTCACCGCCCATCCACGTTTCGAGTTGTGGTCAATGCGCCGCTAGAGCCCAAAGACGATCTGCAAGGGGATGTTCGCATCCTGCGAGACGATATCTTCTGAGCTTTCCTTTGCAGAGCGCCTTTTCCGACTTCGTTGTTTCCATGACTGGATAGCGGTTCAAACACTTTAGAGAGAGAGAGAGAGAGAGAGAGAGAGAGAGAGAGAGAGAGAGAGAGAGAGAGAGACCGTTGTGGTTTACAGACCGCCGCAGCCGCCAACCGAGACGTAGTGGAATGGTGTTTGAGATTTGCGATGTCCAAAGATGGTTTCCAATTTTTGAAGTGTGCTATAAACAATCATATTCTCTCGTGCTTGCCATTTTCGACTTCGTTGTTTCCATGACTGGATAGCGGTTCTTTCATTTTTGCAAAGTATTCGCGCACGCACGCGTGCATGCGTGAGAGAGAGAGAGAGAGAGAGAGAGAGAGAGAGAGAGAGAGAGAGAACCCATTGTGGTTTACGGACTGCCGCAGCCGGAAGCCAAGTCGTAGTGGAATGGTGTTTGAGATTTGCGATGTCCAAAGATGGTTTCCAATTTTCGAAAGTGTGCTATAAACAATCATATTCTCTCGTGCTCGCCGTGTTTTGTTACACTACGTACAACGTAAGTCAATGGCGTGTATGCTCTTCGTGTTCGCTGCATTTTTGTTTGTTTTGAAAGTGCTATTCGCCATATAATTTTGTGTTTTTTTTGTTTTTTTTTTTTGGTGACGTGGATGTGAATGACCACATTGTCAGACGAAATTGAACACAGAATGAACCACACAAAGAAAGACAGAACTGGGCAAAGAGTGAGCAACGCAAACACAAAATCAAAAGGCCGATTGTCAACCATGGTACAAGGATGGAATTCATAAATATTGAAAGCCACAAGATTCAAACCAAGGACGAGCCGCACCCTCCGATTCGCATTCACATCGCGACGGGGTTAAGTCACTGTAATCTTAAACCTCCAGTACTTGGCCCAGCTATCAGCCGCGGCGCTTCCCCGTTAACACGCCACGGCATTCGGGATTCGGCCCACCAGACCGGATTGGCTGGAGGCCACTGCCAAAATGAAAACGAAAAAGACCGACGGCAGTTCGGCAGGACTTGGCGCGCAGGGGGCTGGGAGGCTCGGCTTCGATAGCTGGGCCAAGTACTGTTGCTTTAAAAGCAACCTCATCAGACTTCATGTGCAAGCATTGATTGCCTTCGCCGATAGACGAAAGGATTGACTTGCACCTCCTACATAACATGTAAACCAACAACCAAATCCACCCGCACTAACGGACCCCGTTCAACCCCCTGTCATGTGCCGAGCGCGACGCTGAAATCGCCAACCCTACCGATTATGCCGTCGTCAATGGTCCTATAACCCTAAACGCAGTGACACGTGTCCGCACCCGTGAGACGACGCCGGATAAGCGATTGTCATATGAACTATCGTAGGAGCTGCATGCGGCGAGTTAGTGCCGCACGCAAGTCCATCACCACTTCGCTCGCGTCCGCTTGCGACACCGGGGCCAGCGGTTCATGCATGCCCAGATCGATCTCGTTGCCGTTCGCGTCTCTCTCCATGAGCAACCGCTGGTCGAAGTCGAAACCTGCCTCAATGAGCAGGTTGTGGATGATACAAACTGCGGTGAACTGCTGGGGCATGTTGTCCATGTTCGTTTTGTGGTGCCTGAGGAACAAATGCCACATGCCCTTCAGCCGCCCAAACGCTCTCTCGACGACGTTCCTTGCGGTCTTGTGGCACGTGTCGGAATACGCCTCGTCATCAGGCTGCACCACTCCGCCATAAGGCACCGCCAGCCATGGCAAGGGGCCATACCCATTGTCCCCAAGCACGTAGCCCGTCATCCGCACCCCGCCAGGCAGGGTCACAGTCTCCGCCGTGAACAACGTGCCTGCCTCCGCACGCCTGCAGAACGATGAGTTCCAGGATACCCGGCGAACACATCGATGACGCGCATGTCCAAATCAACCACCACTTGAGCCACGACCGAATTATTGTTGTTTTCTGTTATAATAATTCTCCGAAGGCGCATCGGCAGGTTTATCGACGTACATGTGGGTGCAATCCATGCAGCCGTAGCAGTTGGGGAAGCCTTTCGCTGTGAACGCGCGCGTAACTTGGACCAACCGCCGACCGGTTGGCATGCATATCTTGTCAGGGTACGCCGACAAGATGGCACTCGTGACATCCCTCACAGCCTTGATCCCAGACGACCTCCCCATGCCGAAGGACGAGGTTGCACTGTCGAAGGTCTCACCAGACGCCCATCTGTAAAGAGCAAACGCAACCACCTGCTCAAGAAGCAAAGGACTGCGGTAGTGGGTGAGCCGACGTTGAAGAAAGGGTGCACACGTGGCGACGATCTCGTGGAAGGCGCATCGCATCATCCTCAATTTCTCATGATGAGATCCTGCCAGGTGCCCCCTGTCCTCCTCCTGACCCACCACCTTGTCGTGTCCCTCGGCAGCACTCCTGCGAAGATGGCATTAGCCATGAGGAAAGGCGCATCCCAGACAATGGCCGACACTGAATCCGTCATCGCCTGCGTGACAATGGCCTGGCTGTCCGCTGTTGCAACCCATTCGTCGTTTGCACCGTGCCTGGACACTGCCACCAAAGCTGCCACCACCAATCGCTTTTTCCGTTCCGTCAGCCCGCCGCGTTCGCGCTCCTCACCACGGCCTGCCATGGCGTCAACCTCCATCTCCCCCGTCAACCTCCGCGTCCAACCCTCTGTCGCTGCTGCCGGAGACGATACAACCCACACTCTGTACCACCCGCCACTTGCACGTACACGATCGACCAAAGACGGCGAGGTTTCGGCGCTCGAACGCGTGGCTTTTATTGCCACCTTCAGCAGGATACCTCGGCTGACGAATTTTTGAATTTTGAAAAACGGTGCGGTCGCTTCCCTCGGACGACGGTACCAGCAGTGGCCCCTTGGGCCCGTGGGCCCGCCTGAAGACGGCCATTTCATCCGGAAGCCGCAGGACTGGATTTCACGCCCCACACCATCTCGCCATGAAACAGGGGCCCAGGCTGTTTTCGTCTCAAGGGCGGCCTCTAGTGCACATGGAACGAAGAATTGTTGTAGTGTAAATTAATCACAATTTTGTGATAAGGGCGCCCTTGAAAGTCAAGAATTCTCTAGTGGTGTGGAACGAGGCTCATAGTGTTCAGAGAAGCTATGAAGTTCGTTCGGATAATTTTCGGATAACGATCGGATATGATTCAGATAAGATTGGGATCGGATCAGGTTAGCACGAATCTGGCCATCTATTCGACTATATACATTCGTTCTCAGGTTATTACAAGGTTCGGATCATTTTTCGGATAACGTTCAGAGATGATTCGGAAAAGATTGGGATCGGATCAGGTTCGAATCAAGTTCAGGTTCCGATAAGATCCGAATAAGATTCGGATAAGGTTCGGATAAGGGTCAGGATTTAGACACAGAGGTCAAATTTGACTGGGCGAGTCAAATTGGAAAATGCGATGAGGTTAGCTAGCCAGCGACCTGATAAAGGCGATCTGGAGACTTATATAGCCACAGAGGTCAGTGGCTATATCTATACCGATAGTATAGGTTGTGGCTGTGCGTATGGGGCAGGCCCCACTAGGTTATGTTAGTGGTCAGAACGAATGAATATAGTCGAATAGATGGCCAGATTCCTGCTAACATAGCACTAAAATTCCGCCAACATCAACGAGGCCTGGNTTAGTGGTCAGAACGAATGAATATAGTCGAATAGATGGCCAGATTCCTGCTAACATAGCACTAAAATTCCGCCAACATCAACGAGGCCTGGTCCTATATGCGGTGCAAACGGATAGTAGGTGTCTATACCGCCGACACTTGGCCAGTAAATCCCCTCTCCTCTCCCGCGCCAACCCCCACCACCAATATTTTTGGGTCCAGGCCCGCTTCGGTTACCACGAGAGAGTTGCCCCGCCCTTTTTCAGGTCCAGGCCCGCTTCGGTTACCACGAGAGAGTTGCCCCGCCCTTTTTCAACCGTCGGATCCAATGGTCTATCCGTTAGATTATCCATCCAATGGCAGATTCGTCGAACCTGGACCTGATTTGCATTGCACATTCGTCAGATCTGACCCTGGTTTTTCTGAGTCGTCTCTTTCTGTGTTTGCCCCCCCTGTCTGTTTACAGGGATGGAATTTGACCCTACCCTGATTTTCACGAGGCAGAGCCAATGGTTTATGGTTTAACCCGAAGGTTGGGGGAGGAGGGGGGGGGGGGGGAAGATGGGGGGGGGGGGTGTGCGAACCGGGGGGGGGGGGGGGGGGGGGTTGAGAGGAGCATTTATTAGCCAACAAGGAGGAGGAAAATGACCGACATGTATGGGGAGGAAGGAATTAACCCAACATACCTTCTCGATGGCCTCATATACCTTACTTCCTTCCTTCCAAAACCCTTCCTAATCAGGAAGACATGCGGCCATGGAGAAGGCCCTTCCTAATCAGGAATGCATGCGGGCATCGAGAAGGGTAATAAAGGCATCAGGAAGGGAGTTTGCGCTATTCCCAAAGAGGAAAACAACGGAGCACACACAAAAAGATAAGCCTGCGATGGCTAGATTGAGTAGCTCTCGAGAAGGAAGACCACCACCCAGGAGAAGGAAGCGAGGCAAACGGAGCGGAGGAGAGATAATGATGACAATGACGATTGATGATTTAAGAGGAGGGAGGAGGAGGGAGGAGGAGGGAGGAGAAGGAGGAAGGAGCATGAGGACGAGGAGGAAGAGGAGGAAGAGGAGGAAGAGGAGGAAGAGGAGGAGGAGGAAGAGGAGGAGGAGGAGGAGGAAGAGAAGGAAGAGGAGGAAGAGGATGAAGAGGAGAAAGAGGACAAGGAGAGGAGGAGGGAGGAGGAGGACGAGGAGGAGGAGTGGAGGTAGGCTCCCTATGGCAGAAGAAAGGGGGCTGGAGCTGGTGGATTGATAATTATGGTGGCGCTAACGTAGGAGGAGAAGAGGAGGAAGGCGAAGGAGGAAGGAGGAGGAGTGGATGCCGGCTCCCTATGGCAGAAGAAAGGGGGCGGGGACGGGTGGATTGATGATGATTCTGGCATTACGTAGGACAAGAGGAGGAGGAGGAGATTGAAGTGATTTCGTTTTATTTTCCATTGATGATTAATCTGATACTGCAATCCTCCTCCATCCTCATCTTTCTCCTCCTCCACACGTTTCTCCGCCTCCTCCTCCTCCTCCTCCTCCTACTACTACTACTACTACTACTACTACTACGAATTCTAGTATTACGACGACGACGACGACTTCTAGTACTACTACTACTACGACTTCTAGGACTACTACTACTACTTCAAGTACTACTACTACTACTACTACTACTACTACTACTACTACTACTCCTCATTGTCATCATATGCATCTTGAAAGAAGATGTTTTTAGTACTTTTCACATTTCTTTGAAGAGTTAAGAACTTCGTTACCCAGTTTTGCTGCCGGGGGGGCCGGGGGAATTTGGGACAGAGAAGGGGGAGGGGGGGGGGGGGGGGGGGGGGGGGGGGGGGGGGGGGGGGAATGGGGCGGATAGAACATCTAAAATTTCTGAAAATTCTGAGTACACCGTCAAAATTTCGAAAGCGCTTCTGGAAGTTTTAAGAATCTTTCAGAAGTCCAAGAGTTATTTGACCATTTCACCTTTTTCACTTGTCTACCGCGGCTTCCTCCTTTTCATCTCCCTCCCTCCCTCCCTCCTCCACCTACTGCAACATACTTTCTCCAACTCCTCTTCATCCCCCTCCTCCTCATCATCTACCACCTCCTCTTCTTCCATCGTACACTCCTATTCCTTCCTCTTCCTCCTCTTCCTTCTCCTCCTCCGCGGGTTGCCAGCAACACACACACACACGCATGCACACCTCCACACCCACCCTCCTCCTCCTCCTCTCCTTCCTCGTACACTCTTCCTCCTCCTCCTCCTCCTCCTCTTCCTCCTCCTCTTCCTCCTCCTTCTCCTCCTCGGGTTGCCAGCAACACACGCACGCACACCTCCAACCCCCCCCACATATACACACGCACGCACAGCTCCATCAACCCCTACCCGCCCGCCCCCCCACACACGCACACCCACACCCACACCCACGCACAAACACAGCCTCTCAAGGCAACAAACGAACTTAACCAAGTTCTGGCCAGAGGTTAGAAATAAGATTCTATAAATCCCCAGCCAGGGCATGCTGGGTTTTGTTCGGTCTCTTCATCTCTCTCTTGCCAAGAAGAAGAAGATGAAGCAACAGAACTGCATTCACGAGCCAAGCCAATTGAAGGACACCAACACGCGACATCACAGTCGGGAGTTGGACCCTCCACCAAATGGCTAAGCTGACGAAGAAGATCCCGAAAGGACAACACAGAGACACTGACCGTGATCGGCATCCCGGCCAACAGTTTACTTTAGTTGAGTTGAACATGAGCGTGAGCGTGAGAGCGATGAGAAGGTCGTACCTGCACTGATTTCTGCCGCACTGAAGTCGGCGGGTTCGATCGAACCCAGCGGTGGGTGGGCCGCACTGAAGTCGGGTTCGATCGAACCCAGCGGTGGTGGCCCGGACTGAAGTCGGCGGGTTCGATCGAACCCAGCGGTGGTCCGTGCGCACTGTGAATTCGGCGGGTTCGAACCCAGCGGTGGCCCACGGAACTTGAACTTGGATTCGAACGCAGCGGTGTCGTCGATTTCCAACCAGCAAAACTTCGCTCACTCACTGTGTACCGCGCACGGCGCGGGAGCCCAGCCCGGAGGGTGCGAGGGCAGAGAACGCGGCATTGGCCGATGCGCTGTACTGTAGTTTGGCACTGTAGGAGCACCCCGGCGGGGCATATTCGCAGTCGCAGGCGGGGCCTATTCGCAGTCGCAGGTAAGTCAAGGCATGAACGGCCGCCTGCAATTGAGAATGGTTTTATTGATTTTATAGTGCAAGGCTGCAAAAGGAGCATCTTTTTTTTTCTTTTTTTTTTGTTAGGGAAAATTTGTCTGGCGCCCCTGTATTTTGGGATAATTCGCGTCGCGCCCCTCCGACGGCCGGTTTACCCTGTCGCGCCCTTGGGCCAAAATATATTTTCGGCAGGCCCTTGTGGGCAGTGGCCGCAACTTTCCAGGACGCCCTCCTTGGACCGGCGGTCCCATTTCCATCGGGCCCTGTGCCATATGCCCTCACGATGGTTTGCCTTCTTTCTGCAATGCCCCCACAGCCGTGAGGCGGCAGATATTCGAATTCAATTTCAAACTGCCTGCCTGGCGCGGCGGTTTGAAAATCCGTCCTTCTTCACGCGGCCACTCTGGTGTTGTCGAAGCGCCGCCGCCGAGAAGCTGCTGGGTTCCACGGTGAGTGTCACTCACCTTCTTCGCTCTCTCTCTCTCTCTCTCTCTCTCTCTCTCTCTCTCTCTCTCTCTCTCTCTCTCTCTCTCTCTC